CTATGTCAACTGGGGGTGTGGGGACCTTGAGCCTGCCCCATGCAGGTTGCCAGGAAGGGGATGGGTGGACACAAATATTATAGTACATGGATGTGGTATTTCTCAACATCACTATAATTTTTGTGCACAGATCTTTTATTTTTTTAATTTGGAAATAACTTAAGATTTACAGCAAAATTGCAAAGAGAGTACAGAGAGTTCCTGTGTAGTCTTCACCTACATGTGCACAAATCTTAAGGAATTAATTTGGCCCCAGCCCCCAGCCTGGTGGCTGGAACACGGTGGTGGCCAACCCATGCTAGCACAGGAACGAACAGATCTGGGAACATGTCACATCCTCCAAAGTCTTCCTGCTGGCTCACCTGCATTGATGACAAACCTTGAGTAGACTCAGACGGTTCTTCACTTTTGACCTTCCATCTTTATTGCGGAGAACTTGGAGAGCTTAGTTCACATTACACATTCTCACAGGAAATGCTGAATGTCGCCCATATTTTCACAAAATGGCTTTTACATCAGGGACCTGAACAGACATCGGCCCGGCAGTGGTCGGAGGCCCAGAGCAGGAAGAAGGCCTCCTGTGGGAAACTCAGGGTGTCCAGGAAGGGGGAAAAAGAAACGGTCCAGCAGTAAACAGGAGGGGGGTGACTATGGGGAAAGAGCACCTTGGGAGGAGAATCTGTGGCATCTAGGATATCACGATGCTCCCTGTTTCCCAGTATCTTCTTCGACACGACAGGTAGGACTTATCAAGTCCCAGTACATATCGTTAAAGAGCTGACTTAATTATAGTGGAACCGTATTATTTACAAAATTATTGGAGCTGCTAAAATATTCTAGCTTTTTGTTGCTGCTGCTGTTTTGTTCACAGGTGAACTTTGGAGTGTACCTGATGCACACGGCTTTGGATTCGTCTTCTCCGTGTTACCTGTCTGTAGGATCTCAGGTGCTCCCTATGTTGAAGGAAAACACAGAACACGATGATTTATCTGCTTCTGAGAAACATCAGCATGTGGTCTCCTAAAATTTGTTTTCAACATAGATTAAAATTTCTCTTTTACAACTATCTCCACTGTTTTTTTCCCTCCAGTTTTATTGAGATACAATTGACACACAGCACTTTGTAAGTTTAAGGTGTACCGCTTAATGATTTGACTTACATACGTCATGAAATGATGACCACAATAAATTCAGTGAACATTCATCTCATATAGACACAACATTAACGAAATAGAAAAAAAATGTTTTCCTTGTGATGAGGACACTTAGGATTTACTCTCTTGACAACTTTTATATACAATGTTCAGCAGTATGAATTATATATTTCATGTTGTATGTTATATCTCTAGTACTAATTTATCTTATAAATAGAAGTGTATACCTTTTGTTTACACTTGGTCTTAGCCAAAAGGTCGAGAAGCGATTGAAATTTGTACCTTTTTTAACTGAAGTATACCTGATTTACCACCTTGTGTTAGATTCAGATGCACAGCAAAGTGATTCAATTATACATGTATAATATGTATAATTATACTATTTCATTATATGAAAAAAATATATATATTCAGATTCTTTTCCATTGTAGGTTATTACAAGATATTGAATATAGTTCATGTTCAATATTTTGAATATAGTTCCCTGTGCCATACACAGGTCCCTGTTGTTTATTTTATACATAGTAATGTGTATCTGTTAATCCCAAACTCCTAATTTATCCCTCCCTCTCTTTCCCCTTTGGTAACCATAGGTTTGTTTTTTATGTCTGTGTGTTTATTTCTGTTTTGTAAATAAGTTCATTTGTATCATTTTTCTAGATTCCACATATAAATAGTATCATATGATATTTGTTTTTCTCTGACTTAACTTCAATTAGCCTGATTATCTCTAAGTCCATCCAGGTTGCTGCAAATGGCAATATTTCATTCTTTTTTATGGCTGAGTAATATTCCATTATACCACAGGTTCTTTATCCATTCATCTGTTGATGGACATTTAGTACATGTATTTTTTTCTGGGCTTTCTATCCTGTTCCATTGATCT